CGCCTGCCTCTGCCTCCCAAGTGCTGGGATTAAAGGTGTGCGCCTCCCAGTGTGACTGGGATTTCAAGGTCAAAAAGGAGCTCAGCAAAGACTTGAGCTATTCTGTGAAAATCCTGTAGTGACAGTTGACTGACTGCTTAATTGGACATGGGTGACAAGCCCCAGTGAGCCCTGCAAATTTGATAAGGCTGTGAGTAGGTACTATAGGAAAATTTCTGCCGCCCCATTAACTTCTCCCCTGACTACCATCAGAAACACACACGCTTGTACAAAGCCAAATTTCTATTCCAAACATCTATCTAGATCTGCCTGCCTGCCTGTCTGTCTGTCTGTCTGTCTATGAGACCGTCATATCTATAGTTTCCATATATAAGGATCCAGACAAATGCTGATAGTAAGACCATTTTCCATCTCTATGGATCACGTGCAGTCGTATGCGTCATAATTTCCTAAACAATGCCGTCTAACAGTTAGACTCAGCATTTGCTCTGTATTAGGGATCTTGAGTGCAGATGATTTGACACACATGGGGGATAAACATAGGCTAGAGGCAAACCTGGTATAAGCATCTGCAGTTTGGGCATCTCTGGGGAAGTCCTAGGAACAATGCCACAGATGCTGGGGGTGGATGCAAACTCAGTCACACAAACCAGCAGCACAGAAAGCAGTCTCTCCTTTCCCCATCCAGAGACGCTCAATCCACCGGCGAACCCTGTCAGCTCCTTCCTCAGATGAGGTCTCATCATCACCTCTGGAAGGAAACAGACCATGCCTGGTTCATCAGTGCCAAAGCAAGAGACTCCCAAAGGGCCCAGTTTCTGTTCTTGCTCTCTGTTAAACAGCAGCCAGAACAACCCACCTTCTGTAGTTTAAACCCCAGTGGCTTCCTAGTGTTAGTGTGGGATCCTTCAAATGCCCCATGGTGGCTAGACTTGCCTATGTCCTCTCTCTAGCCTTGCTGGTCAGGTCCCTTTCTGAGCCTCAAATACGCCCAGTATCTTGCTGCTGTGTCTTCAAATATATCCTTGTTTTCCCTCTCAGATCTTCCCCTAACAGGGACCTTGACCAATGGTACAGATTGGTCATGTACACCACATCTCCAGGAACTCAAACAAACAAAAAAGATGCTAAAAAACTGTTACATAAAATACGTCCCTCCGTTCCGACCATGACAAATTCTTCCTAATGACAAATCTGAAAAGTCTGTGCTAAACACATGGGAGCAAAATAGAACAACTGAATTCAATTATTACTGTGCATGTCTGAGTGTTCTGGGTTTTTGTTAGTGAAATTTGAATAAGTAATCAAACGGGGACATGCATTATTTATAACAAAGTATACATTTATTGCACAGAGATATTTTTACTTAAGGAAAATCACTACTATGGTTACCATCAGGTAATTTATATTCTATGAAGGTGAGCTATTAAGAAGGGTTTTAAATGCTATTGTCTCAATGTGCAGAACTTAAGCATGGTCTCACTGAAAATATAACAACCATAAATTAGAAGTTAAAATGGTTTTTTATGTATGCTTTCAAAAGAGTTACTTTACTCAAGTTCTCAGAATTATTTATAATTACATGAATTCGTATTCAAATGTGTGGTGTGAATTTGTATAATAATTATTTGAAATACTGCTTGAGAATTCAACTAAATTATATACAACAGTCCTTGTATTTGAGTTTTTGTTTGCTTGCCTGTTTGTTTGTTTTTTTTCTAGGAGTTGAACCTGGGCCTCGTTTATGCTAAATATGTACTACTTTCAGCAACATCCCTTCAGTGTTCTCAGCTTTAGTGTTCTAAACACTATCTGGCTGTTTGGGGGTTGTTTGGTTGTTTTGGTTTGGCTTTAGTTTTGGTTTTAGTTTTTTGAGACAGGGTTTCTCTGTGTAGTCCTGGAACTCACTCTGTAGACCAGGCTGGCCTCGAACTCAGAAATCCCCTGTCTCTGCCTCCCAAGTGCTGGGATTAAAGGCGTGTGCCGCCACTGCCCAGCAGAAATCCATATTTCAAGAGAGAGTAACAGGTTTAAGAAATGTGGAGTATGAGTTAGACAATAAGAAATGGTTATGAATTAAGTACCTGAGCTGCCAACGGTGTTTCCTCATCTGGCATCATGTACTGGCACAGTGACGACTTGAACACATCTTTATCATTCCAAGAAGACTGATGTTGCTCAACAAGAATTCTGATTTCTTTTAGTTTTTGCTCCAAGTCCAAAAGAGACAAGGAATGTTTAAGAGAAACACTAGAAATACAGGAAAGTGTGTCAGATAAGTTGAAATGACAGGACAGGCTTCACGGTGCTCCTTTTCTAGTTAAGCTGGCATCTGAAACCCTGTTCTACTTAGTCTAATCTGATGCTGTTGGACTGGAATGGACTGGGAAGCCAGCCACCAGATAAGGCCATCACTACAGAGCCACAGTAAGCTTTCACACAGATTTCACAAGAAAGGCCCTGTCATAATTATAGATCTTATTAGTGTAAGGGTCAGGTAGGCAGGTTTGAAAGAAGCATTTTTTATATTTCTAATTTGTTTGGAAATCAGTCAATAATCAATAAAATCTGAAAAATACCCCCAGTGTGAAAAGGCTGACACTGATACAGTAGATTATAACACATATGCAGGGTTGGTGTCTAAATCAGATTACCCAGTTCCCTAGGACAGTCCTGTCATCCGTCTTTGCTCTGCAGTACTGAGGAGTGAATTTGAGACCTCAAGCACCCAAAGTAAATAAATGCTCTACATATGCACACTCCACACCTACTTTTTCTCTATTTTTAAATTTGGAGACAGAGTCCACTAATGTGACTGATTGAGTCTTATCTGTAAGCCTTGAACTCGGGCTGCTCCTGCCTCAGCCTCAGAGTACCTGGGATGACAGAACTGTGGCACCATGAGCAGCTTTAACTTTTATTTTATTCACCAGAACCAAGAAGTCAGAAAAGACAGAGGAACATGGCATACCTTCCTAAGATCCGCTGTACAGCTTGTTTAATGACAGTGACCAACTCTGTCAGGCCTATCAAAGGAAAAGCAAAATTAAAAGAAAACAGAGCCGTGTTCACTTAAAACCTTCCTCAATAACATGAACGTGCTTGCTACAGACTGGAATCTTACCATCTCCAAGAAGGTGCTGGATACTTGATAAATACTGCTGCTGTACATCTGGAGGAGCAAGAACAGTCTGTGTAGAAGAGAAATCAAGTCAAAGGAGCTTTTAAAGGAAAGTTAAAGCTTTTAAAAGAAAACCCTTTTTAATATACCCAAAAAAGCTCACTTTCCAAAGACAACCATCATAATGCTACAAAGTCAGTCATAAATGTTAAAGTCTGTTTCTCAGAGCTGATTAATAGTTCAAAGTACTCAGAATAAGTAATATTTAAACACTGAACCTCTTAGAAGACAAAGCGGTGTAGCTCAAGTCTGTTAAACTTACAGTGCCATTTTTGCCAACTGTTGCATTATCCAGGTAAATATATCCACCAATTATGTTTAACTGGACTCGCAAAAGAACCACCAGCATACACGTGCTATATACAGCTACAATACTTCTTGTGAAACCTTCAGAGAGAAGAGAAACCCTTTGGCATTGTGACTAAAACACCAAGACATGTATACACTCATGACCTATTTCTTTGACTACTTTTTTTTTGATAACTTTAACAAAATATAATAGTAAATGGATCAAACTTAAAAATATATCAATTTAAAATATGTTATACTTAATGTATCTCTTTATAACATATATATAATAATTTATGTCTCACTTCTTTCCTCCCCACTCTTTTGATTTTAAGCAGGATCTTTCTCTGTAGCCGAGGTAGGCCTCAAGCTCAGGACCCATTTGTCTCAGTACTGGGATAGCAGACCAGTGTCATGCTTGGCTAGGCAGGATTTCTCAACTGAAGGACTACTTATAAATACGTATTGGGCAAAGGAATTATCTGTTAGAAGCTGGGAAAGGAAAGCAATTTGGGCATGTACCTCTGTTGGTATAAGCCTGCCTAGTGTTCACGAGGCCCTGGATCTCTCTCCAGCATGGATGTGTGGATGGGACAAGTCAAAGCAAGACCTGAGTAAACTGTATCTTTAGAGCTCAGAAGTCCAGGGAACGAGCTTAGAACTTAGGAAGGTGGAACATGGAAGAACCCCTGCTTCAGTGATAGGTAAACGTGAAGGCCAGTAGAGATTTGGATGAGGTAGAGAGGACAGGGAAACAGGAAGACCTTGCCTCCCAGCAGCCCAATACAGCATCCAGGGCAGAGAAGGAGCACAGATGTCCACGGTGTCAAGTGCTGTGGCCAGTTGAAAAAGCCCCAGTGGATTCAGAACCACAGAGACTACTCCTGGTGCCTATGAGGACCACTTGGGTAGAGACAAGAGCAGAAACTAGGGTGTAGTATCAAAGAGCGAGTAGGCGTGAAGAAATGAAGAAAGAGAATTTTGACAGGGCATGTGAGAAAGGGCAACAGCTGAAAGATAATATAGGCCACTCAAGAAGTTTAAGCTGTCTTCCAATAGGGGAAGACTCAGGCATCATTTGGTGGATATGTCAGCTGAAATGGAGAAACAGGAAAGCTTGCTGACATTAAGGTTTGAGACATATATAAAAGGCCTAGGGATGTTCCTTGATTACAATTTTTATTACTAGTGAAATTTTGCGTAAAATATGAAATTAAAGTTGCTATTTGGGTTGGATAAAAATTCCTTTAAAATATACCTAACATAAGCACACACAGTTCTTATACCATACCTTAAAACAACGATATCACCACCATCACTAACAAAGTGTTGCCTAGAAATAAACACTGACCTCTTTGCTTTATGAATATTTAGATTTAAACCTGACTATGCAATGGGGCAGGAAAAGAAGAGTCATATACATACTATCATACAAAAAGTTCCTGTTACAAATAGCTCAAGGATGTGCTGTCATACAGAATACTCGGGCTTACTTATTATCTTTAGGTCCTCCCATATTTCCAGCTTATTTGAAGGCCTAAAGGGAAAAAAAATCAGAAAACATGAAAATAATACTCTATATAAGTTAGTATAACTTTGAACTACATAAAGCTATATTTTAAAAGTTAAAATTAAAACTCACATATTTAAAAACTCAAAACAACATACAAATATTGAAGAAGCAAAGTCAACAAGATAACCAAACCTGTCTAATTTTTTTAAGAAACACTAAGAACCACCTTCACTAGTGTACAGGCCTGCAAGCCTTTGTCCTCTTTCTGAGCACATGCACAAGCATACTGAAGTGGTAAGCAACCCAGGAAGTGTCTTTCCTCTGCTTATTATCTTGTATATAATCAAGTCGATCCTGTGATCACTCAAAGGTAAGAAATCTGCTTCTGTTGCTTTACAGTATCACCATAAGCATAGGAATTGACACATGCATTTGTGCTCAACCAACTGGAACTATTCTCCCTTCTACTGTTTAGATCACCACTGGAGACTACTTAGGTTGGTTCTGAAATCTTTTTGCCTGAGCCTTTACACTTTAATTTTTTTTTTCAGGCTGTTCTGAGTTGATCCTGTTCTAAGCCTGCTGCAGATCTGAAACTACCTACTTCTTTATGAGTTCCTGGTGGTTGGGAACACTAGAGACCAGAGCGTTTGATCTGGTCAAGGATTGTTTCTAATCATTCTCAGTGAGCTGAGCTGGTGCTATGGTTGGGCTTACTGTTGTCTCAGAGGATTGTAGAGAAAAGGTTTGGTAATCATGGTGACACACTGGGAGGCAGTGAAACCTTTACTGAGTTGGAAGCTACAGGGAGACTCTCGGTCATTAAGGACACCTACCAGGGCATTTGGAGACCCTGGGCCATCTAGTATTACTCTTCTTGCTTCTTGGCTACCAGGTAACAGCTTGATCCACTGTACTCGGGCCACAAGGACCATCAGAGACCCAGAGCAACACATCTGCCTGATCTGGACTGGAAACTTCAAAATTACAAAACAAAATAAGCCCTTTAAAGGCCTCTTACTATAAGGTAAAAATGACTAAAAGCTGTTAGATATCTATATAGTATTTGTATGTATACATTTTTAAAGATAAACTATACCACAAGCTTATACCAATAGTTTAATTCAAAGCAAGCTTTATCGGATTTTAGCCTAATTTTGTTGACTTTATTTTATTTTGTCCATACTAGAAATTAGTGAAAACAACATAGTCATTAGTCTCCTTCACCCCTCAGTTCAAGTATAGCAGTCCTAAAATAGTGCTATAATATTCAAAAGGGATTAGAGCTTTTAAGTTACATGTAACAGAAATATTTATTTCACTAAGAATATTTAATTACCTTTCTGATTTAAAGACATTTGGCATAGTTTCTATCTTTGTGGTTATACAAAGTTTATTTTACTATAAATATTTGGTATCATAGTTAACAATTAATATCATTTTATAATTACATAAAATATTTACACAGTTATAAAGCCAAATTGATACAACCTTGTATGTTGAATGCCATGTTTCCCTATTCACAGATGATTTAAACATGCTTTCGCTTCTGCTGTATTGCTTTATATAAGCATGTATGCATTTTTAACATATTTAAAACTGCTCCTTAAATAAAATCAGATATACTGCAGAAGTTTTATTTACTAAAAAATAAAATAGCAATGTATCCAGGAGATTAGTCCATAGTAGCACAATGGCATTACTTATTTAAAAAACATACTATGGGCCAGCAAAATGGTTCAATAGGTATTAAGGCCTGCTGCCAAGTTTAATGATCTTGAATTCATTCCCAGGACCAACATGGTGAAAGGAGAGAGCTAACTCCTGTAAATTATCCTGCTACTAGCACACACAAAACAAACAAACAAATAAACAAAAATTTGAGTGGTAATGGCACACACCTCCCAGCACTTGGGAGGCAGAGGCAGGTGAGTTTGAGGCTAGCCTGTCTACAGAGGAAATTCTAGAACAGCCAAGGCTACATAGAGAAACCCTATCTTGAAAAACCTAAATAAAATAAGTAAATAAGTAAATGCAATTTAAAAAAAGCATTTTAAATGTAGTGTAGCAGTCGTCTGTGTGAATGCACTATGCAGATACAACACAGAACTTTCAGAGCACCTGTGTCATAGAACAAATATTTTTACTATTTTCAGTTCAGGATAAATACTTTTGTCAAATATAATGAAAATTATTTACTAGAACAGAAAGATACAAAATACAGGCCAATCATTTTTATTGATATGGGACATAAATTTGTGTTTCAGTAAGAAGTTCAGTTACAGGGCTGGAGAGAAGGCTCAGAGGTTAGGAGAACCTACTGCTCTTCTAGAGGAGCTGAGTTTGGTTTTTGGTGTCTCACTGGTGGCTCGTACTGCCTGTAACTACAGTGTCAGTCACATCTGATGCCTTTGCAGGAACCAGTACTCATGTACACATACTACCCACCCCCATGTAATTAAATAGTGAAATAGACCTTAAAAATGTAGAGTTATTTCAATTAACGCTGAGCCATTATTAGAGGACAGAAAGTCCTTAGTAGAAGGAATCTGTAAAGGGGCAAATCAGAGCGCAGGAACTGAAACCACACTCGCTGACCCTTATTTCATTTGGGGGACTTGGTGGGTGAGAACAGAGTGAGCTGCCACCCAGGAAGCACTTCTGCATTGATAATCTCGTAATGAGACCGTGCCAGTAGTTTTACAATCTTTATCTGAGAGTTAAATGTAGCTCAGTGGTAGAACCTTTGCCTATCATGTTTGAGGTCCTAGTTCTCAGGATCACAAAACAAACAAAACAAAAATGTGCACACATGTGGGCACGTGCATGTGTACACACACACACACACACACGCACACACACACACACATCTTTTCTGATTTCAAATCATATCGGACAGAGAAAGTACTACCTGTGTAGATTTTCTTCAAAGGACTCTTCAAGGGGACCTCTACTTCAAGTTAAAAGCAACTTGACTTTTTAGTGTCACTAAAATCAATATCCACCTAAAACTTAGATCAATGCTTGCCAAACATTCTATTGCTTGTGATGAGGATGTTTAAGGTTCTCTGCCAGATACCCAATCAATGATGGCTCCTTACTGCTATCGTGTACCTGCCAAAACAAGGCTATCAGATCATTTGTTTATCCTCATCAGTTACAAGCAAATGAATTTAAAAAGAAAACCAACTTGCTTGGCAGGTTATATGAAACCAGAGATGACTGGATTATAAAAGCAATCGTCACACTGTAGGGCCTTGTTAGTCTGTTTTATACAAATGTTTATCAAAATGGATACATACCAATTACAAAATAGTAATTACAAAGCAAAAGAAAAGAACGGAAATAACATTAAGGCACATAAAATATAAGCACTGAGTGAGAAGCACAACTCATCTTAAACTCTGGAATTTAAGAAATTCACTTTCTTGTGTTTTGAGTAAGGTTTGCACATGGTTTTGCAAAATCAATCTTTTTTTAAACTCCCATATTTTCCTTTAGTGTTTATTTTACCCTGGAATTAACAGGTCTCAACTGTACTATGTTTAATCCATTTCCCCTTTGCTTGTCAATTCAATGACTTAAACCTAAAGGTATTTTATTAGGTTTTTATTTGTCTGTTTCCTGGTGCTGGAGATTGAGTTGAGGGCCTTGAAGATGCTAAGTGCAGGCTCTACCACTGAATCTTTCTAAGCATTTGGAATGGAGACCTGTATAGGATACAGGTTTGCTGAGGAGGAGGAAAGCCACCATATTTAACTGCTATCCTTTAGTTTTTCTATACAAACTCAATTTGAATCTGTCTTTGCCTCTTAGTAAGACTAAAGTCTAAGACAATTACAATCTGTTTTCTGTCCTCTATTTATGCACATTCAAGCAGTAATCAGTTGTTTATATGACTGTGATTTATTTGTTCATATATCTTCTTATATAATTATACAAAGTAATTTATAAGCCACACTTTACATCTGTAGAGCAGAGATTAAATTCAGTCTACTTCTAAAAATGACAAATCACCTGCCATTGGTATTCTATTTGAATCAGATAAAAAGTTTTAGCATACGTTCATTATTATTTTGGGAAGTATTCTCTGAGTAACAGAAAGACGTTTCAAAGAGGGCTGGGAATGTAGCTAAGTGGCAAAATGTTTACCTCATGTGGGTCCAATCCCAGTATTATAAAAGAAAAAAATAAATGAAAAGTCCTCAAGTTTGCTGCTCAATTTGTCTAAGTACTCAGTTTCTGTTTGCAAAATGCAGATGATAACATCTGCCTCATAGAGATATTGTGAAAATCGCATGAGAGCATGTGAGTGTGGGAGGCTCCTATTACAAGGTTGCCACAGAACTGCAAATAGTACTTCATTCCCCCTTGATACTTGAGGCTTATTATAGTCAAGGAAATATTTCAGTAAAACCACTTAATTAAGATTTATTTGGTTTGAGTGTAACTCAGTGGTGAGCACAGACATGTATGGGCTCCTGGGTTTGGTTCCTCAACTGTTTGTCTCTCTCCTTTCTCTTTCTCTCCCTTCCCCTCTCCCATCCCCTTCCTTCCAGCCATACATTTGACTTACTGAAACCACCACTGTCTGTATTTTTTTCATCAAAAGAAGTAGTCATTTGTTTCTGGAAGTTTCCTCAAACTAGCACAGAATTTAATTTCTAATGCCTATGTGCATGCCGCACACCACACATTAGGTCATTTATGTGAGTAGTGTTTTCTGAACTGCCACAATAATTTATCAGTATTATACATTCATGTTATATTTGTCTATTGTTAGTCATTTACTTATAAATTCATGTTCCTTATCCAAAACATTCTCCTACACTGCTAGCACTATGAGAAGCACAATATTGAACATAAAGATTTTTAGTTTTACGTTTCTGCTACAGAGATATGTTCTATAAGTACCCAATAATAAACTGTTGAATAATGTAAAACAATAGAACATATTCATATAAAGACAATACATATTATTGTCCCATATGATCTGTGTAGTGAGGGAGAGTTTTAATAAAATTAAATGACATATATATTTAATTTTTTCAACTGAGTCTATGTATTTTAAGTTTTTATTAAAGAGATAAGGAAACAAGGATGCATTAAGCGTATTTAGCTCATTCTACAACCTTTGACTGCATTCCAATAAGCCAAATAACATAGTGTGCTTTTACCTGTTTTTCAACAAAGCTGTTAGACTCTCCGAGTTGAGCTGCTGCATTAAGGCCTCTCTCAGTGTTGGCAGCATGGACAGCACTGTCCCACAAACAAAAAACAAAGACACTCACAAACGGCATGAACACAGTCATTTAGATATTCATACTGCTGTAGGCTATATAATAATAGTAGCAACTAGCAAGAGTTAGGGGAACTCTCCAGGGTAGAGAATTCCAATTATTACTACTAATTATATAAAACCACTACACACTTTTAAACTATGTGTTTGCTTATGCTACTCCACCATTATTATATTTGAAGCAATGTAAACAAGAACAAGCAGAAGACAGAATGAAAAGACTCTGCCCCTTCTGTTAACAGTGGACTCTCTGAACTATGGTTTATGGATAACTACTCCTTCTTTTCTACACTTTCCAAAAATTTCAATGTAAGTTTATTTCTGATATAATAAAAATGACCAAAGCTAATTTTTATAGTCATATTTTTGTTTCATATTTCTAATTCTTGGAAAATATTGCTTATTAAATATTATAAAACCATGTTTATTATTATAAATGCAAAAGCACATTCATCTAAGCTTGGAGTGCTCCCGGGTCTCAGTTTGGGTTTTGCTAATGGCTATGGCATTACCTTTCATTCCCTGGAATACTATGAAGACCAAAGGAGATCCAGGACTCCATGGGGGGAAAGTATGACCAAGAGTCACAGGAGCTCCCCCACGTCTCTACAGGTGGCATAAGATGAGCATACACAGAAACTGAGAGAGGCTTTAGCCTGAGACAAGTAATGATTGAAAAACAAAAAATAAAAACAAAACAAATCCCAAGAGATCACAAATAGCACCTTATAGAAGGTAAAACTTGAGTGTACAGCTTTTCTCTTTTGATGAGACAGAAAATCCATACTTATACAGGAAATTTCAGGCTCTGTTGCTCAACATTGTACTTCCATCTTGCACACTCTGTAGTTTCAGTAAATGTCCTCACCCTGCATATTTATAGCTTCTTATGATATTGAGATCAGTAGCTAAAGAAGGGGCTCAAACATGAGTATTTCACCTTGGTATGTGTGGCTTGGTATATGTCTAAACAGTTAGTCCCTGTATCTGTAGACTCTGCATGTACAGATTCAAACAATTGCAGATCAAAATATTCAAAATGTGTGTCTGCATTGGACATGTACCTTCTTTTTTCTTGCTATTATTCCTTAAATAAAATAACTACCACTTACATTTTATTATACAGTGAAGGTATTCTAGAAATGATTCCAAGTATATGGATGAGTAACTGCAGGTCATTGAAAATACTGTATTACTTAATGTAATAGTTGAACATCATCAGATTTTGGAACGAATTCTTAATGACTAATAAGGGAAAATGCAAGTTACTTTACAAACAAACAAGTAAACAAAACAATTCTATATTCAGAAAATGGAGTTCATGGAGAATTATGGAATATACTGATTTGAAGAGTCTTTCTGATTATTCTAGTCTCCCTTAGCCATCTGTACATAGCCACTGAGCAGATATATTTCTGTATCTTCAGTCATCTGTTCTCTACAACATTTGAAAAATTCTATTTATTTCACATGTATGTGGTGCATGCTCAAACGTGTATCTGTGCACCATGTATATGCAGGAGCCAGTGGAGGTCAGAAACGGTTGCTGCATGCCCTGGAACTAGAATTACACATGATTATGAGCTACCATGGGAATGCTGGGAACCAAATACAGGTCCTCGCCAAGAGTAGTAAGTATTTTTAACTTCTGAGCCATCTCTCCACCCACCATGCTAAACCTTTCTAGTCCAGGCCCAAATCACAGAAAGATGTGTAGGTTTGAATCTGAATCTCAGTTTTCTCATCTGTAAGTTGAAGAGAACACAGGGCCTATCCTATAGAACTGCTGTGGGGATTAAGATATTTATAACATTTACAAAAGTACTGATTAGCTAATGGAAATAGTCTTAGCTACGGTTACAATTCTTTTTGCAGGGAGAGGGTCCTAATGACATAATCTAGAATCTTCTTAGCATGTAAGAGGCAGGAATGTATCTGTAGTTTGACTACCACATAGTATACTGTGATCCTTTACCCAAACAAATACAATTCAATTAGTAAATACTAATTACTACAGTTCAATTACTGTAGTTAATTAGTATTTCTAGAAGTCATAATGTACTGTTTATTACAGTTTATGTTCAACTTGAATTTCCAATGTTTATTCAATATTTTGCATCATTCTGAATCTGTTAAACTGACTCATCATACAAAAAAAATTATCTATCACAGTCCAAAAAACAAAGAGTATTTTGTATTCTGAAACTTTATTAGTGATGTCTGCTACGCACCTAACCAAACATCATGTCATGTGTAAATTTAATGAGTTTCTCTTCTCAGTCAAGTCAAGAAAGGCAAAAGACAAAGCCCTGAATGTTCCATTATCGTACAACATTTAAAGTGACATCAATGTCTCATGTATGAAAACTGAAGTCCTCCATGCCTGTGGTCTGCCCACCAAAGATTTCTACGGTGTAAGTTTAATCACATTATTTGTAGTCTCTTGTAAATGCATACCAGGAAGTTGTTTGTCAAGCTTTTTAGAGAACCTATATTTTACCTCCTAGTGAAAATGCTATGCTATTTTTAATTGTCTGTAGTCTGCTATCTACAGGGTTGTGATGGTCACAGCATGTACCAGCTCCATCTTCTAAGAGCAGCAGACTGACCAGCAGATTCATCACTATGTTCACGTTGCCCTCATCTCATGAGGACTCAGGGAGGAACTCCTGTCCAGGGAACTAGACCTGTTAACTCATCAAGCTTTCTTAAACTGGGAAGAATCATTTCAGGCTTTTAATTTTTTTAGACAGAGTCTCACTGTAGCTGTATTGGAACATGGCTAAAATGACTATGCTGGCCTTGAACTCATAAAGAACTGTTTGTCTCTGCCTCTTGAGTTCGGGGACTAAAAGTGTACACCACCATGTCTGGTTCAGGTATTTCTTACGTCAACTTCTTCCTTTTACAAGAGTCAGAGACCTTCTTTCCTATTCCTGTTCACTCTCTATTATTCTTCATAGGCATTTCCTCCAAGACATTGCTTACATATCTTCCCATTTGATTCTGGGAGGCCCAATATGACACATGATTTTGTCAAAATGAGATGTATTTTGAGATCCCAAGAGTGATCTTTTACCATTTTATGAAAACTTGCATTAAAATCTTAAACAGACTGTTGATATTCTCTAGCCATTCAGTGAAATGTACTCAGTAGCACCAGCATGTTCTATGTGATTTGTAAGTTCACATGCTGCGTGTCTATACGCCAAGCATCTTATGTGTAGTATCTGCTGTCTTCTCACAAACTACTTCTCTTTTTAAAACAGGGACTAGCTATTTGGCCCTGCCTGGCCTAGAACTCGTTATAGACCACCTGTCATCAACTTGAAACAATCCTCCTAAGTATCCCTCGTGCTAGGATGTGGATCAAACTCAAGAGCTTTGTGCAAGCTAGGCAAGCACTTTCATGAGCTGAGCTACATACCTGGTCCTTCACCATACATTTCTGAAGTAAATTTTATAAAGGTCATTTTATTGGAAGAGCTGAGGTTTAGGTTAGCTCAAAAACACAGATAATTAAACTGGAAACTGATCTGGTGATCAACCTCTCCCTAGAGCCTCTGTCATTCTGGCTGTGCACATGAGCTGTCATTATGGACAGTATTCTGGCTAGGGTTTAACAGAACAGAGGCGTCTGACTAGGTATGATTACTTCAAATATAAAACTCACATGTAGCTGTAGCTGTGAACTTATATTCCCTTTTTGATCTTAGCTTTTCCATCTATAAAATGAGGAAGTGAGCTAGCAAAAAAGTCCTCTAAAATCTAGAATAAAATTCCACTTGTAAAGGTGAACCAGGCATATTTAGCTTTGTAAATTTCTTCTAAACATATCCTTGAAAGAAATGTTAGGGAGGAAAAAAGAAGCTTTAAACAATAAAAAAAATAGATGTGACATGGATTTGAGAAACCAGTTTTCAAGGCATCATACCAGTTAGAACCTAACTCCTTGCTCTCTTCAAACATGAGCAGGCTGATTGCATTATGGCTTTTTTTTTTCCAGTAGGCTTCTAGTTCTGGAAATTACATTATTACCATTAATTAAATGATTGAGCAGACACTATTGTGTAATACTTATGTCCTACATTGTCTTGCTGCAAATGTAATAGACTTAAGACTCTTTGCTGTGACCTACAAGGCCACGTGGGTCAGGCCTCTCTCCACCTTTGTTTCCTAGCACTCATCCATTTCTTTCTAGCTCCAGTGCCTGTGTGCTACTTCTGTAATGAGCCTAGCATGCTCTCATCTCAGGCATTTGCTCTCTCTATTGTACTGTGAGTCTTTTCTGCACACAACATCTGGTCAGAGGCATGAGCCCTCCACCACACTCTGAAGCTTTCCTTTCTGTACTGGATCCACAGCAGCCTAAGGTCACTTATTTGCTGTTTGCCATCTTTTTACCAGAATATCTGCCGAAGCTCAGGGGATCTTACTCTGTTTACTGCCTATTCCCTCAAGAGCAGGCACTGTGAATATCTGCTGAGTGAATACATAAAATGAGTATTTATAATGTTTTAAAAATTCACATTGAAATCATGTATCTCTGTTAACTGGACTATTGAGTAGATCCAGCATACTTTCCTCATCTTTTCCATAAACTGGAGACTCAGATGATGAATTAAATACAAACCAACAAGCACTTCAACATACAACTACATATATGTCTGCTTACCTGTCATATTGCAAGTCCTCTGGTTACTTTCAAAATGGTACTGTCGCCGAGCCTGGGCAATGTATTCTGCAGCTTCTCTTTCTTGTATTTCTCTAATTTTTTTCTGTCCATATTTTCCCAGGATATATACTCCTAAAATCATTTTTTTTAAAAAAGTAGATTATTAACTAGAGTACTAAAAATTCCAACCAACATTTTAAGCATTTTTTATTAAATCATGAGGTTTATACTAGGAACATGCTGAGACTTACAGCTTCTAAAATACTTTTATTAAAGAACTGAAAAAGGAAAGGAAATTGTAGTATTTACTTATTTACTTTACATGTATACAATATATTTTAACATAGCCAGTAAGAAAAAAAAAGAGATTAGCAGACAAAAGCAGAAAGGCATTGAATTTATAAAGTCTGGCAGCATCTTTAATAGCTAATTGAAGATATTCTAAACATTCAGCAGAAGATTAAATAAATTATGATCTGTTAACATAATGGTATCTTATGTAGCTATTAAAAACCACATTGCTAAATAGTTAATGACTCAAGGAAAATCCACCTTATACTATTAGGTTCTAAAATGACATCCAAGAAGTTTGTATTTTAATGAAATAGATACATAGAAAAGTACATATTTAATTTCTAAAGAAAAATAAACTGTGATAATTGCAGTTGTTTGCTTTTCTATATTTTTCATGTTTTCTTCAATGATCACTTAACTTTAAAATCTCCACAATTAAAGATTTAAAGGAATGAGAGAAAGGTATATAGTATATATAAGACATGTATTTATCCACCCCTGAATTAGATAAAAGTCTGAGAAAATAAGAAGATGTAATTTACATTCTCTAAAAACTACTAACTCAAATGACAAAGGGAACAGGAAGACAGCATCGTAACACAACAGTATAAAATATGGCAGGGCCGTGTGGCCTTCACCACAGATGATGTAAATGAGTGCATTTTTGTCATATACTGGGTGAGTGGCCATTGGTTTTCTTAACTGGGAATATGATGAACATTCCAGTGTTAAAATGTGATCAGTGGACTCAACCCCTTCTTTATTTTGGACAATTCCACATATGCATACAACACACTGAGATCACAGTCATCACTGGCCCTGTTTACCACCTTTATTTCTCTCCTGCTGATCCACTATTTTCTTCAAGCAGTCTCCCATACAAGATAGCTTGTTTTAACTAACCATCTCTGATTACTATCAGATAGTTTACTAAATAGTACAATGGACAATAGAAGTGGATCTTCACAGACTAAATCAGTAAGTGTTTAAGACACTTGATTAACTGAGATATTTTAGTACCATTTCTATAAACATAGATGTATAGCTCTAGCAAGGCCTTTCTCCTTAGGGATGGCTTAACCTGGAACCCAGAAAAGCCTTCCAAATCAAACAAGTTACAGCAGTGATAGTGTTGTCTTTGTTTTGGGTACATGATTTTGTTATAGTGCCAAAGAAGAACAGAATTCAACAAGTTTATAGAAGAGGCTGTGTTACTGTTTCACCTTTGTTAGCTAATAATTGTTGATGTATGCCAGAACTTGATTTCCTCATAAATCCTGGCAGCAAGGGCTCAGGGGGCTAATCACTTCTCACATATCTCCACTGTCTGTGGCTTACAGTATTTCCCAAACGGCCTCAAAAATTATGCATTTGGTCCATTTCTCACAAGGAAAAGGTAGCCATCAGGAACTACCAAGCAAACACATCCTAAATTATTTTCACTAAGACAGATGTTGTAGATGATCTAAGATGTTATATATCTTTAGATGGTTCCATAAAATTGTGTGATAAATAGGAATAGTATGGTTGCTGTTACTATGCAAATAAATACATGCATTGTAATTACGCTTCAAGAGCAGGCAGACATTCATAAAAGCTGTTCATCGGCTGTCTTTTCTATAACATCACAGCAGCACAGCCACATTACCATTAGAATAAGAAAAACATATGGTTAATATCTATAATTCCAGCTGAGGCAGGAGGATTATCATTTTGAGGGTAGCTTGGGATGCACTGTGAGAACCTATTCCCCTTCCCTCACCACTAAGATCTCAGAGAATGAAGAAATTGACTTAGATTTAGCAAAGTGACTCTCCAACAGGCAATTCTGGTTCAACTAGTTCTGAATACATTGCTTGTATCTTATCTCCATAACATATTACTGAAGGTTACATACACAATGATTATTATCTCTCGAGTTATATTGTAAAATGAATCGTTGATGTCACACTCTTTACATGGTAAGTGCAGGCTGAATTGTGTCCACTCCCAGCTTGTGCCACAAGCTGATATACTGAAGGCCTAGCACCTTAGAATGTGAGGTCAACACAAAGTGAGATCAATGGGCCTCAATCCAACATGGCCAGTGTCCTGAGAAGAAGATAAAATTGAGACAGAGATATGTGCAGAGAAAAGACAATTTGAAGGTTCCTAGAAGCTTTCTCTTTACAGCAGTTGGTATTCAGTTGTAGAAGACTGTGAAAAACACAACCATCACATGGCATAGCCTAGTACGGATCCCTTTCAAATGACTGAAGGAACAAACCCTACAGACACCTTGATCAGGACTACTAACTTCAAATGTATAAGACAAACTTTAGTTTTGTAAGTCTCTCACTTGGTAGGTCTTCATTATGGAAGCACTAGAAAAGTCACTCATGAAATTAGACTTAAGTCCTAGACACACTGTTTTTCTTTAGTCAGCACTGATATTCCTAGTCAAGGTCTAATTCACTTAGGATCCCATATATAAATTTCACAAACTGACTTCTTCTAATGTTTCTCTAGGAAATACTAACGAAAGAAAGAAAACTATCATCAGCTAAGACACACTCAGGGCTGTATATGCTTCCCTGGCAGCCTGACTCTTGGACTAGCAAAGAGGCATCAGTGACAGCTCCTGGTCAGCAAGTGAGGTGACTTGGAGCAGGCCACTCAATCCCTCTGGATATATATCTTTTTCATGTGTAAAATCAAATAGCTTTAAGTTTCCTCTGTAGCTATAATCTTCATTATTAGCAATTAAAATATCTACTAAATACCAAAAAATAAGTGAAAATGTTTTGATGTTTCCTTTCATGACCAGTTAAGCAATATATCTTTGTATAAATCATTTGTCTTAAAACCATCTCTTAGTCTTGTCTTCCAGGATAAAAAATTCCTATAGCACTAAATTTCAATAACAATTTGAAAATTATCTATCAACATTGCTTCCAATCAAGTAGAACCCCAACTTGTAATGTTTACATTCTATTTCAAACTTCCTGTCCATGCTGAACAGTGAGTGACCTTGCCCATGCTCAGCCCATGCTCAGCCAGGCCTGTACCACTTGATGACATCTCCATTTGAGTAGTGAGCCACTCCTGAACTCATCACCTGAAGAAATAGAATCTCAAAGAAGGAGTCTAGATTTTTTCTGAAGTACTTTAAATGGTTTTCATCCATAGCAAAGACTGAGAAGCAAGTGTACACAGAGCCTGCCCACATTACACACAATGGCATAGTAAGGAAGCCATTTCACACTGTGTATTACTTTATTTCCATGAATACTCTCCAGACTATAGCATGAGTTCCCCAAGTCAGAAATGGCGTCTTTCTCCTTGTGAATTCAGAGCCCAGTAGAGTTAGAATAGGCCTTATTATTGTTCAAATGTTAAGTCAGTAAATGACTTAAAAAAAATCTCTAAAGAGGTTAAAAATTGCAAGGCTTAAGATATAATTCAGTGTTCTGTGCTTTTATCAGCAAGATAGTAAGTATGAGTCCGGTTCTTCTGTTCTGTGATACTTTCTTGTTATGTGGTTTTCAAAGTATGGTCTGGGCATCCCTGGAGTCAGTTTAGGGATCTGTGAGGTCCACAATATTTGTGTCATACTGAAATGTTGTCAGTGGCACTCTACACTCTTTCCTGAGTGTTTAGTGGAGGGTTTTAATGGGTAGTATCACACATGACTGACTACAGAAGGGGTACGGATTTAGCTTTCTGCAGTTAAGCCAAACTAAAGACTTTTTTTGCAATTGTAAAATAATGCCATTCTTCTCACTAATTTCTGAAAATGTTTCATGTTAATACTTAGTAGGCTTATTATTGTCTTAAATGAGCTAATAGATACTTTAAAAATCACTTGGTTTTAACTTCAAATTCATGAGTAGATACAGAATTCAGGAGCCTGTGGAGGTCTCTTAATTTCTAATAGTATAAAGATTTCCCATCAAACAAGCTTGAGAACCACTGCTCTTCTCCAGCCTCAAATGGTCACACTGTGTAAATGAACATGCAGCAATTACTATCCACAATTCAGGGAAATAAGAATTCTGACTTCAGAAGCCACACAACTCAAAGCTCTGCCTTGCTGTGTTTTTCCAGCACTAAATATCTCACTCTTTGATCATGCAAAATAACACCTTACTCGGCACTACTCTTGTGACATCTGCCTCATTTTATACAACTTCATGTTGCTGTGTACTACTGGGCTCAGTATTCAGCTCTGTCATGGTCTATGAACAGTATTCCACTTATTTCTTCATTCTTAAAACATTAAAAAAATCCACTGAGGCAGGGTGGAAGAGTATGGAATGATAATATGCATTGGGATCTAACACACTTGGGGTTGAATTCTTATTTCCTTGTTAATAACTTGGCAAGTTTCTTAATGTCTAGGGACTCTAGTTTCTATGTTTGAAAAATGGCCTAATAGTAGCTATCTTGCTGTCATTTGCAGAGGTTGGAAAGAGCTTCGTATGAGGTTCAACATATAGTGGGTCTCTAATAAATGTGATTAAAAACATAAATTATACCTATTCAATCACACTGCCCACAGCAGTATAATCACTTAATAAATATTCCTTAAAATGTAGGAATTTCCTCATAATACGGAAAAATATGAACTCTACGAATAAAACTAGGTAAGTTCAACTATTTTAAGACTTTCTGTTTTGCTAAAAACCAACAGTGCTTTGATTATACTTCTGAATCTTTTTCCCTCCCTTTTGTTGTTGTATTGTTTTCTGTTTGTATGGGTTTTATCTTTTGAGACAGGGTCTCACTATGAAGTTCTAAGTGTTCTGGAACTCACTATGTAGAAAACACCTCCAACTCAGAGATCTGCTTGTCTCTGCCTCCAAGTGCTAGGATTAAGGGTGTGTGCCCCCATGCCCAGTTTTTTCCCTTCTCTTAATCTCCAATTATAAAACTCTCAATAGAGTTTCAAAAAAATATATTACTATATCCATATATCTTTAATTTCTCCTATGATTATTTCTGGTCTGTCATTAAGTGTTTCATAAACCATTAAGGTTAGGCTCTCCCCTCTGAAATTGCTAGAGACAATTTTCTTTCCTTAGGTAGAGCAAAAATTTTTCTTTATATGTCTTCCATGACACATACAACTTTATCTTTAGCATATTTATTCTATAATATCGGTACAATTTAAATATACCTTAGATATTAGAGACTGGAGGTAATATAAAACACATTGTATCTATAAAGTATTTCCTAAGGGTGATTATTAACTATTATCCATTTGTGCTATACCTCAGAGATATGCAGAACATGGTTATTGTCTTATCAATGACCTAATATTTTAAGTCATCTTATGAGATATATATATATATATATACACACACACACACACACACATATATTGATAGCATTTCTTCACACTCAAGTTTTTAAAATTCTTTTAAACTTCCTTTTTGTGTTGTTCAAAAGATTCCCTTTTTAAAATCCTATAATTATGAACTGAGGGTTCTTACCAAGACAAAGGGTTTAAAGTGGTTTGTGTGTGTGTGTGTGTGTGTTTTGCTCGTTCCCTGGAATCCAATGCAGTCAGCCTAGGCAAGTGCTCTACCACAAAGTTACAATTTCAGTATCAAGATTTTTATTGTATGTGTTTCTTTCCTCTCAGCCAGTGAATGCAACTATATCACCAAAATGGACAATGACCACAACCCTGACAGTCCTGATAACACTGCAGAATAACCCAGTCATAAGCATTGTGTTGATACATACTTTGTATTTTTAAATTGGAGAACAGAAATTATCTACTTTATATTTTACAGCAACATGCTGTTTTCAATTTACCTTTAAACACCACCTCAAAGAGCAGGCTTAAGCTATTGGTCCTAGAATATTTCGAAACTCGTGTGAAAGGTTGAAAGCAGAGTGCTGGAGTTGACAAACAGAATGAAGAAATCTAACAGAAAAGCAAAAGAAGAGAATTGGAAGGCAAATGTATCTATATGAAAATAGTGCTTTGAAAAGAAACTTCATTGGTTAGGCCCGTGAGGGGAAAAGGACGGGGGCAGAGTGAGGGGCAAAGGGCACAGAGAGGGGAGATAAAAGAATTTTAGAGGTTCTCCTTCGACAGTTGGGCCAATCTCTGACAAATCCCGGTCTAGTAACAGTGGGCCCTGCCTGTTTTATAAGTCACCTCTGTCACTCCTTCCTGCCAACGGCCCCTTCTATAAACAGGTTGTCACTCACCTCCAAGGACTGTGCCCAGGAAGATGCATTTCTTTTTATGACGTTTCAGAAAATTCCACATTGATCTCAGCATCTTCAGACCCCGGGTTGTGTGGGTTGCCTAGGGGAGAGGGGCTGGCTCACCGTGTCTTTCGTCAACCTGGGCCGGATCTACGGCAGAAGCGCGGTGGCGGCGCTAGGTGCTCTCCAGAAACCACAAACCTTTCTTTGCGCAGAGGCAGTCGCTTGAGCGGAGGAAGGGGGCGTGGACTACAGCGGAGCAGCAACGCTTTCGGTCCCCCAGCTGCCGCTTACTGATCCGGGACTGCTGGGTCCGTCCACAAATAGCTCCCGGGTGCCTCATCTTTTTCCGTCTTCCCGGAAGCAAGGGCCCCCGCCCTCCGCGTTCCGCTGTCCTCGGTCCTCTAGTTCCTTGGCTCGGCGTCTCTTCGTGGCGATATGGAGGAGAAAGTGGAGTCCACCACTGCTCCAGGCGTCTCGTGCGTTGTGTCGGTACAGGAGACCGAAAAGTGGATGGAGGAAGCAATGCGAATGGTGAGGAACCCTGCAGGTGGATGCTGAGAGTGCAAACTTTCTCCCGGCCGCATCCCTACCAGAGTAGTTGAGCAAATGTGCCTGGCGCGCTTTCTCATCACTATTATCTATCAACTCTCAAAATACCTGAAGTAACAGCTTGTTTTATTCTAGGGGACTTTTCTTTAGCTTTGTCTCATAGTAATTGGGGTTGAGGGAAAAATACAGAAACTGTTTGATTGATGTGTAGTATGTATTACAGGGAGCTTTAGTTCCCGCCTGGGGATATGTACCTACCTACCTGCCTATCTTCCTTTCCATGTGGACACATACTTTCAAACCCGTAAAGCCATGTTATTTTATGGTTTGCTCCCGACGCCCTTGAACATATATAATGGAAGGAAGCTGATGTTTCTGGTAGAGGGTCATATCAAAACGTGTCCCCGTACAATCATCACCGATGATGTATTTACTCTTTCTACAATACTTTTCTCTGCCCTTGTATTTCCTTCCCGCGATCCCTTTAAGGATTGCATTATGGAGGTTTCTGGTCGTATTTACATATTTTTTGAAGCTTATTACCCATATTGATGTGTGACAGGGATAGAAGTTTGTATGATATGTATGTGTACACGGACTTTCTGATGCTGGTTTTTCATTCTGTGAACATCATGAAATATACACCAATTTGTCGACTTGAAAAGGCCTTAAGACTGAGCTCAGCCTTTGATGTAGAGATATTATTTTTGCTTATTTGTTTACAAGATTAAAATATTTCAACTTTTCATACTTTTTTTGGTTTTTCAATCAACTTTTTATTCTAATGGTTACAGAAGTTCACATTCACAAGAAATTAATCTAGAACATTTAGCAAATTATATAAAAATTACTTAAAAGTCTTGACCTCAGAGATAGCCCGGGTGGCATTTTTTGAGCACTGTTCCTATATTTCTGTCCCTGTGAAAACAGAAACATGCCCCCCCCCATAATGGCATAATGCATTCTTTTTTTTTAGTTAACACTTTTTTTTTTTTTTTTGGTCATCTTTCTCAGAGCCTGGGGTAGGAAGAAGAGAGCCTTTGTTCTTCAGTTTTCAAGTTGAGAATTTGTTGATTTAAGGAAGATCAGGTTGCCATTTCAGTGGCAGAGCTTTGACCTTTTCCAAAGAAGGCCAGCTTCTTAAGTTCAAAGCCATCTACACAGTCAGGCCTATTTTGACCCAACTCTTTTGCATTTGTGACAAGGGGAAGGGACTGACTGGAAGAAGTGGGAGGGGCATTGGAGAGTCTGAGATAGGATGGAGTGATGTGGATTTTCAGCCTCAAGTTTTGGACTTGTCAGTAGAGGAAATGCATGCATATTTGTGCGTGTACCGGGAAGCAGTTCCTCTGAATCGACCCCCACAGACTGCGTTCTCCAAGCTTCACTTCCTCTCAACTGTCATTGCATTTGCCCAGCCACTCAGTACCAGCATCCTGGCCTACAAGTCACACCTTATCAATTATGTTGTATGTCTCTTTAACGTAGCCCTATCATTTCTAGTGAGATAAATTTGCTGGAAGAAAAGAGAGGAACCAGAGGAACTAAGTACCAAGAAGCCCAGTCCTCTGTTGACCTGGGAGCAGGGAAAGGCTGCCAATACAGCAGTGTTCTGCTGCACGTCTGGTGCACAGTGGATAAGGCTCCTGGCACTCCTGATCTCTTTCTTTCTACCTCTGTACTTTCTATTTGGTCCGGGAGTTTAAAAATAAGTTATTATTTGCACATTTGTGTGTGTGTGTGTGTGTGTGTGTGTGTGTGTACTCGAATACGTCTGAAGATTACAGGACATCTTTTGGGAGGAGCAGGATCTTTCTCCTTCCACTGTGGGTTCTGGGGATGGAACTCATCATCATGCTTTCACAGTGAATCCTGCCAAGCCATCTTACTGCCCCTGTCTTTTGTTTTCTTCTGCATGTTTGAAACTGCCCCTGTCATCTTATCCTGTGCTCCAGGATGCAAGCTTACTGAAAGCCTTGTCACATGTCTCTCCCTCTTATAAACTCCTCCCTCTTCTCTTGTCACTCAAACCAAAAACCTGATGAAGGGTCTAATCAGTGAAGTCGCACTGGTTACTAAAGAGGCTTTGGAGGGAGAATGATTCAGAGAACCCAGCACCTGACACTAATAGTTGCTCCAACTATTAATGAAATAATGAAGGAAGTCAAACTTTCATTCCAAATGTCTTAAATGGATAAGGTAATCTGACCTCTCTGTGCTTTGGTTCCCTTATCTACACAATGGAGCCCAGTATCTCTGTTGTCATGGTTTGAATATGCTTGGCCCACCTAGTGGCATTATTTGGAGATGTGGCCTTGTTGGAGTAGGTATGTCACTGTGGGCGTGGACTTTAAGACCCTCATCCTAGTTTCTTGGAAGCCAGTATTCTGCTAGCAGCCTTCAGATGAACATATAGATCTCTCATTTCCTTCTGCACTGTACCTGCCTGGATGCTGCCATGCTTCCACCGTGATGATAATGGACTGAACCTCTGAAAACCAGCCCTAATTAAGTGTTGTCCTTATAAGAGTTGCTTTGGTCATGGTGTCTGTTCACAGTAGTAAAGCCCTAAGAAGTTGGTACCAGGAACTGGGGTATCGCTGTGATAGGCCTGACCATGATTTTGTTTTGAAGAATATGGATTTGGGGGATATTGGATTTGGAAAGCAGTAAAATGCTTTAAATGAGGTTTAATGGGCTATCCTAGTAGGAATATGGAAGACTTTGTTGCTGAGGGAGATTTGAATTGTACAGACCGGGGCTGGAGGGATGGCTCAGTGGTTAAGAGCACTGACTGCTCTTCCAGAGGTCCTGAGTTCAATTCCCAGCAACCACATGGTGGCTCATAACCATCTGTAATGGGATCTGATGCCCTTTTCTGATGTGTCTGAAGAGAGCAATGGTGGTGTATTCATATATATAAAATAAATAAATAAATCTTTAAAAAAAAAAAAAAGAATTGTACAGACCTGGCCCAAGAGGTTTCAGAGGAGGAGAATTTCAGTATGTGGCTTTGAGACTGTTTTTGTAGTATTTTGGTGAAGAATGTGGCTGCTTTTTGTCTGAAAATTCTGCCTGAATCTAAGGTAAAGAGATTTATGGTAATTTCATTGACAAAAGAAGTCTCAGAAATGCCCAACAAAGACATTGTTCTCTGGATTAGTCTAATGAAGAGCATTTTGAACAAGCATAGCAATCTTAGAAAGGAAAGATACAAAATATGTGGTTGGAGTATTAAAGGGGCACCAGGAAATGAAGTGGAGCTGAATCCTGTGTTATAGGAGATAGAAGATTAAGGGAGTGGGACTTAGCCGGGCGGTGGTGGTGCACGCCTTTAATCCCAGCACTTGGGAGGCAGAGGCAGGGGGATTTCTGAGTTCGAGGCAAGCCTGGTCTACAGAGTGAGTTCCAGGACAGCCAGAGCTATACAGAGAAACCCTGTGTCAAAGCAACAACAACAACAACAAAAAGGGAGTGGGACTTTGGAGCAAGATCTTACCCAGCTAAGTTTAGGTCCAGGCATGGTGGTACACATCTTAAATCTCAGGAGATAAGCCAAGCAGATCTCTGAGTTCAAGGCCAGCCTGGGACAGAGCAAGTTCTAAGTGAAGAAAAGCTTAAATCCAGGCATGGTGGTACACACCTTTAATCCCAGGAGATAGGGCCATGCAGATCCTTTACACAGACACCCAGCAGAGAACACAGCACAGCATAGCCCAAAGACACCAGCTTCGAGCCCGGGAAAGCACAGCCATGTCTTTTTGCCTAGGTCATTATCCACACCTCGGTTCCCACTGCATCTGTTTTTATCCATAGCCTTCCGAGCACTGAACATCACCTCTCTGTGTTTCAGGCCAAAGAAGCACTAGAAAATATTGAAGTTCCTGTTGGCTGCCTTATGGTCTATAACAATGAAGTTGTGGGGAAGGGAAGAAATGAAGTGAATCAAACAAAAAACGTGAGTGGATCACTGAGAACACAGAAACATACTATGGCCACAGTGGGGCCAGCTGGCAAGATAAGACCCAATGTGTCCTGTGGCACAGTTCCCTGCCCTGCCCGCCACTGCTTAATGTGCGTGTGCGTGTGCGTGTGCGTGTGCGTGTGCGTGTGCGTGTGCGTGTGTGTGTGTGTGTGTGTCTACAGAGGTTGAGATCAAGATGCCTTTCTCCATCACTTTCCACTGTATTTTGAGACAGTATCTCTCTCTGCACCTGTAGCTCATCAGTTTAGCTTGATTAGCTGCCAGTGAACCCTAGGGATCCTGTTCTTTCCTGTCTTCTACACTGGGGTTGTCTGTGGGAATATATGGCTATGTCTGGCTGTTTACGTGGGTTCTGGGGAGTCTGAATTCGGGTTCTCATTCTTTCCCTGCAAGCACTTTACTTACTGAGCTATCTCTCCAGCTCTAGATCTTTTTTCTTCCTTCGTAAATGATTTTTATTTCTGACTGTAACAATACAATGATTTTTGTTGTGTTGATTTGTTTTAGGTATCGAATTTTCAGAAAAGTTAAATGATAGAAAATTATAGTAGACAATTTTTTATTTCTACATTTGTGATCTTAGCCAAAAGCTAAGAAATGGTTACATCTTTGAAATTTCATTATGTTTTCTTTTAACACTTGAGTGAAACAAAAGAAGGAATTTTGTTACATCAGAGTATCAGCCCAGAAGGAAGGAGTGCACCTTGTAACATTCAGCCTGAAAGTTCACCTTTGCAAAGCTGATCCATTTAACTTATAATGTGTTCCTTTTAGTTTCTTTAAGGATTTTTGTTTGTTTGTTTTGTTTTATTTTGTTTAAGGGGGGAGAAAAAGACCTTCAATATACAAATGGGAGGGAAGCATAAAAGGATTATGTTAGAGAAAACAATTTTTTGGATAGCCAATCAAATAAGGTCTCCAAGATGAGCTGTCCTCAACTACATGTGTTTCAGCTTTAATAATTTGGTGTTATTGTGATCAGATTGGAAAGTTCATGGTTTCAATGCTTCTTAACCATGGCGTCCCAGCAGTATGTCACAGTGGACACATTTGGGAAGTGGAAGTAGGTGAAAGTGCCATGCAGCCTTTTATGATTCCAAAGTACCAAATGGACTCAAGCATAATAGAACACCCATGCTGTTCTCGTGGACTTTGATCTAATGTGCTTTGGGAACATAGGACCATTTAGTGTCGGCACCCGGGCTCTGAGGCCTTTAAAGTTCATCCGTCTACAACCCTGAGGTTTAGCAAAACTCATGTCAAGAAGAAACCCAGATTAACAAGGCAGTTATGAGGACATAAAAACATTCAAGCTAGATAGATAACACACATGCTGTGTAGTTAGAGAATACGTTGATGCACAGCTAACACTTGTGTTTTAAATAGTTGCCACAGCACCTGTTGTACTCTGTGATTTGATGGAATGTGTTTAACATGAGAACTAATGACTGAGTCCCCAGTAACTTACATTTCTTAGACACTTTGGAGTTAAGTAGGTTTCTTCCACTGTCATGTGTCTTGCATAGAATTGCCCTTTGATTGCAAGGCCCTGGGCCCCAAGTGAGGAGACCAGAATTCTGCCCACACTGCTCTGTTCCATCCTCCTTCCCCAGTCTCCTCTCCCTGTGTATTTCCAATGCATGATATGACAGCTTACTGTGTTTCTTTAGCAAAGGCGATTCAGTTCAACTGGTATTTATTGAGAGCTGTTAAGAACTCCATCTCTCAGGAATCCTGTATTTGAGCTTTACAGGCTCTGGTTGGAGGAATCTTTAGTGTTGAGTTCTTTTGTATTGGTGCAGAGCCAGACAGTACCCTCTTCTGTAAAGTCCTTCTGTCCTGGGTTTCTGATTCTATAATCACCCAGGCTTCTTTCTGTCTGCTAACACCTATCATAGCATTGTGGGCCAGTGCCAGCGCATTTCTCACCACGCTCTAGGTCCCAGGAAAATGAGCACCTTTTTCTTCCCCTCACCCAGTGCTGTGCTCTCAGAGGACTGATTCTTATCACATATAAAATTTAGTTGGCTTATATAGAGCTAGGACCCAATATGAATTGCTGACAAATGCTATTGTCACTGATACTTTAAATTATTGCATAGAGAATCTGTGGTTTGCATTAAGCTATTTTTATTTTGAACTGTTTTGTTGGTTTTCTTTTTAAAATCAGTGTACAAAGTGATGCATTTCTTGGTGAGATTTTTCTACACACTCTTTGGTGGCCTTCTTCTCCCAGCCTGTGCTTTCAGACCCTTCCCTCTTCAGCTCTTCCCCTTCTGCTCTCTTGTCACATGTAGTCTGTTGCCCTCTTTCTGTTGTGTTATTGGTTGGTTGGTTTCTCTGTGTAGCCCAGGCTGTCCCAGAACTTACTCTGTAGACCAGTCTGGCCTCACGCTCAGAGATCTGCCTGCCTCTGCCTCCTGAGTGCTGGGATTAAAGGTGTGTGCCACCACCACCCAGCTATCTTTATTCTTTTTCCTCTTTCCCAACTTACACTTCCTTAATAACTCTTAATATTTTGAAATTTTTTTTTTTTTTTAAAGATTTATTTATTTATTATTTGTAAGTACACTGTCGCTGTCTTCAGACACCCATATGAGGGCATCAGATCTCATTGCAGATGGTTGTGAGCCACCATGTGGTTGCTGGGATTTGAACTCATGACCTCTAGAAGAGCAGTCAGTGCTCTTAACCGCTGAGCCATCTCACCAGCCCCCTTAATAACTCTTATTTCCCTCTCATAGTTCTATGATTTGTACCCCTGCATGTATACACATATGAAATGTACACATATGAAAATTTAAATCTCAGTTCCACCTTTGAGATAAAATATGGCAGTATCTGTTGTTCTAAGTCTGGGATACTTTGAATGAGATAAAACTTTTGAGGTTGGGGAAATGGGTAAGTAAGATTGTTTGCTGTGCAAGCACAAGGTATCTGAATTTCAATCCCCCGCACCCCAAAACTAGGTGTGGCCATGAGGGGCCTGTAACTGCAGAGCTGTGGGAAGGCTAGACTGGAGGGTATCTAAGATTGCTGCAAGTTGTGCCCCCTGGTTCCGTGAGAGACTCTATTTTAAAGGAATGAGGCAGAAAGTGATGAGTCGGGCACCTGACATCCTCCCCTAACCTCTGTATGCATGCAGATGGGTGCACATATCTTCACATCCGTGTGTGCAAGTACTTTGTGATGGTTTGTATAAAAATGGCCCTGATAGGGTCATATATTTGAATGCTTGGTTCCTGGTTGGTAAACTATTTAGGAAAGATTAGGAGGTGTGGCCTCATTGGAGGAGGTGTGGCCTCATTGGAGGAGGTGTG